GTTTTGTTTTCAACAACTAATACGGGGGACATGAAAATGACTGTTTTTGTGAGAATGACCCATATATATATATATATATATACATATGGAGCCTTCGAAAAAAAAACAGTCTTAAAAAGCATTGTTGTTAATAATACGAAGCAAAATTAGTAGGTCTAAAAATTGAAGAACATGGTTGCAAAAAATTATAGCATACTAAAATCTCAATATCCTAGCTGTCATTTTCCTGGCATTTGAATGCAAAAAAAATTAGAAATAATTTTTTTTCTTGCTTCTAAACTTTCCACAAATTTTATTTTATAAAAAATAGAAAGAAAGCAATAAAACAAGGTGAATTAAGCTGAGAACAGTTTTAAACCCGGCATTGGTTCACTTGAATACTCTTACTTGGAATTTGTTCTATCTTATTAACATTTTAGAAATTATCAATAAGACAACTTTATTATTAGTTGAAAAATTACTATTACGAAGTGCAAATTATTATTAAATACGTACGAAATAATTCACAATTTTAATTTTCCGCCTTTTATTTTAGAATCTACAAGAAGTTTTACAAAAGGAGAGAGGATAGCAGTAAATTATGAGGGGGAAATACCTTATACCAGGAGTTGTACAGAATATCTTCATTTTAAGCATAATGAGGCCTACTGATGAGAGAAGGATTTATTTTAAGTAAAAAACTATAATGTGTCTCAAATACAGAGGTAGATCTTATTCCTAAATATCTGTGGCAATGTACGTTCGATATGCTATGTTCCATCTGATAATAATTCTGATTCGAAGCCTCTTGGTCATTTTCTTAGCATTAAAAATATAGCAAATTTCTATTTTAATTATTTTCTTGCTTAAATGTTTGTAAACCGCACTGCTCTCTATACGGTATTAATACGGGTTACTGAAAGAATATTTCTGAAAAATATCAAACTGTTCTAAAGATTTTTTTCCTGTTTTTTCTTCTTCGTTTTTGCTTAAATGTCATATTTTCTTCTGAAAATTATCCATGTATTTTGAAACGCTGTATTTTGGAAATTTTCTTCGAAAACGTTCAATAACAAAAATGGGGAAAAAAATGCTCAAAAAACTAAATTATTAAATAAATAAAAATCCCAATCCCAACACACCCAGCATTCAACGGCCAAATTTTAGCTGATTCTCGCCAATGGTCCAAAGGTTATAAAAAAAAAATTCGTGTAGCTTAATAATTGTCACCCTGTATTGTGTAATAATGTATAGATACAGAAAAAAAACTAAATAAAATTAATCATGCTTTTAAAACATTGATTGTTACTTTTGACTTTTAAAAAGTCACTATTGTCAGCTAATTAACTAAAATTCTCTGTAGTAAAAAATTTTGCTCAGAATTGATTTTTTTTCTTTTTATTAAAATAATAATAATACTTCAATATATACAATAAGCACATAAATTTAAAAACCGCTTACTTAAATTTCTACTTTTAGCTTATTAAAAAATTATTATTCTCCAGTTTTCCATCACGCATGGGAAGAATCAGAGTTGTTCATCCTGTGTTTCAAATTTTAAACTTTACAGCAGCATTAGAATTTTAAATTTTTTTTATTATTATTTTCAAGCATTAGAAAAATACAATTCTATTTTTTTTTTTCATTTGATAAAAAGGAGAAAAAAAGAAGTTATCGATGAAAACTAAAGAGAATTAGATAAATAAAAAGCTTAAATTTTATAAGACATTAAAAATTAAAAGTTGTTAGAATTGTTTAATAATAAAAATCAAAATTTGAAATAACTTATGAAATTATTTTGAAATATTAAAAACATAAATAAATAGACTCAAAATATAAATTTCATACATAAATTATAAGTAGTATATTTTATGAAAAATTCAAAATAAAAGCTCCTGTGACACCAATAGGACCAAATCTTTACCCTTGAGGTCAGAATTTAATTAACTTTAGTTTTCTTTAAATAAAATAAAATCTTATTTAGTATTTTTAGAAAATGAAGGCAATAATTAGTAGTACATATTTAAGAGTTCGTTTCCAATTTGTGAAGCTTTCAGTTTAGAATTTTTTTTAAGGTGTGTATGGATTGTGCACGTGAATGGTAAATAGCACAAGTCATATTATAAATACTACAATACACAATAACACTTTAATAAAGGGGCACATTTTTTTTTAAAGATTAGGAGTAAAAATAAATCGGACGTAGTTACCCGAATGTCTTATTACGAATTTTAACTGCTAGCACCACCTGTGCTCAGTTTTATACGATTCTCCATCCATTAATAAATGTTTTTTTTTTTTTCATTCACCATGGTGCTTTTTTTTTCATACATAAAAGAAATCAGCATGATTTCTGCTCTAAATGAAATACAAAGCGAAATTCAACGTCTTTGGAGAGATAATTAGATAAATTTGAATTATTATTTTTATATCTAAAGTTTGATAACTTAAACTTAGTCAAAATTTTAACCTTAGTTTAGCTATTGTCCTTAGTCTAGCTATTATAAAGTAGTTGAGTACCTTAAATATGCGAAATATTCGTAAAATTAAGAACTTTTTTTGCAAATAGAGACATTATTGAAATCAGCCAGTCTTCTTTATTGAAAATACCATTCAAAATTATATTTTCATTACACTTTTTATGACTCTTTTGAGAATAGTCATTCTATTTTACTATCAGCGTTGAGCAGCCGACCTAATTATGAGTTTACGTAGTGACTCAGGGGATAAAGCGCACGTCTCCCATTAAGGTTACCGAGGTTCGTATTCAAACTGTGGCTGGTTGATAAGACTTCTGCTTCCGGCTCGCACTGACACAGTATTGACGGAAAATATCCTCGGATAGCCAGATCATAGGCTTAAATCCCCTTGCCGATAACCGTGTAAGTTTTTCGTGATTTTCCCCTATATGTAACGCAGGTGCAGGTTAGTTCCATCAAAAATTACTGCATGAATTCTAGTTATCCCAGTGCTTGTTCAAGAAATTCTCTTGTCTTCTAGGTTAGTCTCAAAACTACGAAGCTTTGGGGGGGGGAGCCCTTTGGATGCATTCTTCTGAACCTTTTTACGCACGTTATCATGTTAAGAGAAAACAGGAATTTCTTGCGTGTGCAATTTACGCATGTGCAATCAATTATTCTTTCGTAGTTTCGAAACAGTCGCAAGCGTTTACTGGGCTGTCGGATGTGTTGATATGAACCCCTTATTACAGCTTTAAGGAGCATTTGCACTGCGTGCGAAGAGAGCGCATCTGCGAAGTGAGCGAGAACTTGATTGGCTAGTTTTTCGTGGGTCAATTCATTTCATCAATCAAGTTCTCGTTCATATCTCTGAATACGCAACAGTTTAATTTTTCGGTTACAGTGAGAATAGCAATTCTTTAGTGAGATGCTCGGTACCTTTCCTGCTGCAATTTCATCGCTTGAAATTCGCATATGCGATTGCATGTAAAATCGATTCTTGCCTAAGCAAGCAATCTGAGCCATTTTTACAGCATGCGAAAAAGAATCTAATTTGAGAGTTTTCCGTGGATAAATGTCTTTTACCAATCAAGTTCTCAATCCGTTCACGTTCTCGCATGCAGAAAAACAAAAATTGCACCCAGCGACAATTGCCTTTCATTCTTCTCTACTCTCTCATCAGTCGATTAAAGCCAACCAGACGTCATATCCAACCAAAAAGTAAATTCTCTTATTTTTACTGGCATATCATAACCGCAAAAGGATCACATCTTTCCAATCCCATATTAATTAGGTCGTCGGGCTACCGAAGCGGGGGAGCCATCCCCTCCGCAGAGGATCAAAATTGTGATGGCATGTCTTCGGATCATCCTCCGGGATGTTTCCCAGACCGTCGCCAATAGCCCATTGTGCAGCTCTAGTGCGACGTAAATTAACAACAACAACAACAACCATATTAATTAAGAAGTTAAAGCTCATAAAATTTTTGAAAGCGGCTGCCGAGGCTTTCCATTAAAAATGAAGATCTAGTTTAGTTCAGGAATACAACAATACTTTGCGCATGCGAGTTTGAATAGAAGAAAACGAAACTGAAAAAGAAATATGTGATGGGAGATATTTTCTGCTTCATTCTCAGTTAACTTGCATTGCTCCCGTCAAATCTTATTCTGCACAATGGTGAAATACTTTTTTTAGCTATCAAATGCTAATGGAGCGTATTATATCAGCTCTAAAGAATGTTTTGATGTTTGAAATTTAGTCTTCAAACTCTTACATGATGAGTTGTTGGTATGTCAAGTAACTGCTCTCGAGTACATATGGCATTAATTTTGGCATTATTATTAGTTTGTTTGTCTTTTAATTTATTTTAAAATTTAACATTCAACTTATATTAAATCAGTATTGAATGTTAATTGACTTTTTTAACGTTATTGTTTAATTACTGTTGACATATATGCTATTATGAATCGTCATTATATTATTTTGCTTATTTTTCCTGATAAATTCTGTTGTTCAGGCTTGGAAAGTCTATTGACTTATTGATGTCTAATGGTAGTTAATACCTCCTGATGAAATATTTCTTCGATTAATGATATTTTAACTGGGTTTTTTTCTCACAGAATTGAAAAATATTTGTCTATTTTTCATAATGCCTTACAGGATTGCTTTACAAAATAATTAATAGAATTCTCATTTATCCAAAGTATGTTTCTAATTAGTAAAAATTTATTTTTAATTAAAATTATTATCTTTTTTTTATATATTTATAATTGCATATTTTTAAGTTAGGTTCTAAATTATCATTTCAGTGGCTGATTGTAACAGAGCTTCACATTATATTAATTTATTTTAATATGTTGTGATAATTAATTGCTGTCCTATATAATTTTGTTACTTGTTTGTGATATAATAAATTTGTTTCAACCTAATCTGATTCAAGTGAAATAAATAGTCAAAAATGATTTTGTTAGATTGCACATTCAGGGTGATTTTAGCTTTTGTTTTAATTGTAACTTTGCATACCAAAATGTATGTTTCATTGATTTGAACCACAAAAAAAGTATCTGTTTGAAACTATAGACTAATATCATAGAAATTGTTTGAAGACACTGAAGATTATTAATTCAAATTCTTTCATGATTATTTAGTAAATTTTAATTAGTATAAGTTCCATTTCAGACCAAAATGGTTTGTAATAGTGTTTTTTCTGAAAAGGAGGTTCACAGTTTGGGCTTATTTCATTTCATTACATGCCTAAATACTATTGTGTTTATTTCATTTTAGTTGTGGCATATTTCCGCATTGGTAACTGTTAGTGCCAACAGAATGATCTTCGTAAAATAGTTATCAGGCCTTAGCAACTTCCTGCCAGCGGCCCCAGAGAAACTAAAAAAAATATCTATCACTGATTTGCAGAACTAAATTTTAAAGGTATAACCCATAGCCATCTTCGATGAAACCTCTAAATATTTTATAGAACAGATTTATGTAGCATCTGCACCTGATGTTCGGGGATTTTTTTCCCCCGCTAACAAATATGGGGATGCAAATACGGTAATAAATACAAATATGATATACACAGATTATATGGCACATTCTTTTTGTTGTTGCTTTCATTGCATGGCGAACACAGAATCAAATATTTCAAGCCTTTTGAATTCAAATTTCACTTGTCTTATGGTCATTTTTTAACACAAAACATGCATTTGATAAATAACTGCAAATCTGTGACAACCCCCGGGGAACTGTTTTGTATGCACTTTATGTCGAAAACGGAATGAAATATTTCAGCCTGTGAAATTTGAAGTTCACTTGTATTACCATCAATTTTCATTTTTATATATACATACATTGTAACCTAAGGGACCACATTGTCTACCCCTAATAATCCTATAATTATCTCCTTTGGTGGGGTACACTATTACTCGGTAATATAATATGTGGTCCAATTTGAATATTACAGGTCTATAATAAGGGGATATATAGGACCATATTATAATACAGAATATTGACATCGAATTTTCTCATCAATAGGGGAGGGTATGCCGCCCAATGGTACTTAACCTTAAAAAAATATGCCGTCCAATGGTATTTAACCTTAAAAAATCCTCAGGGTATACCACGCATTGGCACTTTAATTTTTTTAAAATATCAGTGTATGGTACACTGCGAAGAGTGGCATTTTACCTTATAAAAGCATTAGCACTTAACCATTAACATTGACACTTAATTTAAAAACATCAGGGCATAACCTTAAAAAAAACATCAATTTTAACATTTAAATAAATTAAAAAATTACTACAGATCTATAATGAATCATTATCCCAAAGCAAAAAATTTGTAAACGATCTTCATAAAATTAGCACAAAATTTCATTATAAAATCTCCCAAAATATAAATATAAAAAAACTCTCCTTGATGTTAGAGGGTAATCGATTTCCAGAAATCTTCAAGTTAAACACATAATAAGAGGTATCCACAAATATTTAAAATCTTTTATTTGATGACATCATGACCTTTATTTAATATAAAGGTACATCTTAAAAATTCCAACATTCAAACTCACACAAATACAACTATAAATCATTTCACAAAACCGAAACCCCTACTAAAACAATCAGTCTACACAAAACTAATGTCATGCAAAATTCAATCCTAAAACTAAAATTAACTTCCTGCGAGAAATTATACATAGGAAAACTAAACACCAATTTAGATTTATGATCCTCCCTATTTTCCTAAATACATGTGTACAGTTATATCTAGATAAATAATACCAGCAATATCTAATAACGTCAAAAATAGTTGGGCAATTTTTTACAGCCTTCAAAATAAGTACCACTATTAGTTCATTCACTAAAAATAATTATAAAAGTATTCACCTTCTATCCTAAAAGTGAAAACAAACCCTACCAAAGTTTTGTGCTCTTCCATGATGTCTTAGCATGCCATGACTATTTCTTTTTTTTACGTCCAGAGCTTGTTTATTTCCTTAAGATTTAGATCATAACACAGTTGAAACAATGGAATAAAAACAATATAGAATATTTTTAAACAGTTCTTCACTTCATTTTTTATTTGATGAGAAAACAATTTAGTTTGTATGTGGCTTTAAGAAAAAGAAAAGATATCGCTTGGACATAGAACTGTGATTTACGTTACGTAAGCTGCAAATTTGTAATTTTACAAATTTTTTTTTAGTTATTTTTTTCAGTTTTATGAATAAATTTTTATTGAATATCTATAGGAATAAATATTGAATGATTATAGTTTTGTCATAATTAAGTTTGTATCACTTTTTTTTGGAATAGTGAAAAATGTGTTCAATCTTGTTTTTCAAACTGACTTGTACTTTAATCAAAAGATCTAAGTTTTATTATTATGTATTTATAATAATAATACATGAAATTAGTCTTTAAATTGAACTCATATAAAGATTTAATTTTTACTGAAGTTCATTTTAAAATACTATGTTTCCTTTCATAAAGATCAAGAGGAATGTGTTTCCATCAATCTCCTCTTTATCCACATTTTTTAAAGATTTTTTTAGTCTTCATAGCATGTTCTCTAAAACTTATATCATTTATAAGAATTTTTTTGAAACATTAAATAAAAATATAAATTTCTTAGCTCAAATTAGTGTAAATCAATGCATTCATATCATCCAGAGAAAGTTATAAATGCCTCTTATTCTACTGCCATCTTTTGACAGCAGAGAAAACCACTGCCAGGAATATGGTAAATAAAAATGAAAAGGTAGAAAAATAAAGAAATAGATAATAAAAATTTTAAAAAAGGTGAAAGGCGTTAAATCTTATAGTTTCCTCGAGTAATGAAAGGGGTCTTGATGTCTTTAATTCCACCTTGTTGTATAATGATTTATCAGATTTTGATAATGAATATTTTCCTTTACTGAATTATTAGTACTTTTAAGAGTGGTGAATACATAATACTCTTTATAGATCTTTACTATAAAAAAGTAACAAATTACGGAAGAAACTTTCTCACAAGTTAGCGCATTTTACGAAAGAGACAGCAAATTTAAGTAATGACTAATGCTCTGACTAACAGTAAAGCTTCTCATGTGATAAGTTATTTTTGTAAATTGAATTTTTCAAATGGATACTTTTATTTTCAGATTCGTATACTTCAGAGGAGTTCTCCTTGAACTAATTGTTTTCGTATAAATGTTTGCTACTTTTGTGGAGGCATGAAAAATTATGGAAAAGAAGTATCAGTTCCAACTATTGGCATGCTTGTTCTGCTTGGACTAATTTCTTAGTTTTTCTATTTCCTAACTTTATGTGTTTTAAATTATAATCTGAATAAGTTTGAAAAATATTGTGAGCATGTCGGCTTTGATGGGTATTAATTTGAATTATACTGCTTCTGAGTTTTTACTTAAAGACTCGGCGTTGCCCTAAAGAGTGAGTATTTGATATTTTTCTAAATAAAAATATTTTTTTAAGTAATTTTTTTTTTACTGTTGATTTAATTTTTTTTTAAATAGTACATAATTTGTTTTAGTAAATTGAGACTATTATTATTCTTTTAAGAATGCTAATATTGTTTGTTATAACAATGAAGCCAGTAGACAAAAATGTGTTCTTGCATCCTATTATTATTAATGTCACCCAAGAGGGCTCCTTTATACTCTTTATTAAGTTTTAGATTTTTTTAATGGTTTTTAAAGTGTGAAGAACAATTTAAATAGTAAAAAATGCTTTTCAAATTATAGAAAAAAGCATTGCCCCCCCCCCCAAAAAAAAATTTCGTTTTTTTTTTTAAAACAAAACTCCCTGACCCAACATGTTTTTAAAAGATTATGTATGAAAGAAATATGAGGCTAAATAAATTATTTATTTTGGGTAAGTTTCAGACTAAATAAACTTATATAAGAATAGTGGGGCTGATTTACTTCTTTAAACAAGTAAAACATCAAAAACTATAATTTTTGTTAAGCAATTTAATGACTTTAATAAATAAGTTTTTTTTTTTTAATTTAAGCCATTCTCTTGTGCTGGATACTTTATTATTTGATTTTAGGTGTTATTATGTGCCTTTGAAACAATCACAGAAAAGCATGGGGAATCCACCTGTACCCTATCTTCCTTATGTAATTTGATCACTTGTAATTTTATATGTATGTTTATTTATAAATGCTTCTTCTTTATAATGGCTAATAATAATCCATACACTAGAATTTTGGGTTTTTGACATGACTGATAAAACCATGGTTTAAACTGTATAAAACCGACAATCTTTAAAAACTTGCATACCCTGGTATTTTTGCATTTGAAGGTAAGGCAATTCAAATTACAAGCAAGTCACTTTGAAGCTGATAACTTTTTTTAAACAAGCAAAGTTACACATACACACAAAAAATGATTTTCATATTTCTTGATATCACTAAAATGAGTCCTTTATGAAAAAAAAACTGCTCTCAAGCATCAGACATAATTCGTAGTAACGCTCAGCCACAGAGGCATTCTCATCATGTAGATTGACTGACCTATATAAAGGGCCATTCTCACTGCATACGGTGCACACACCTTTAATCAGCATCAAGAAACTATGAGAACCTGATTGATGAAATAAATTTTTGCATGAAATTTTCTCTTGACGACTGTTTTCTTTTTTTTTTTTTCCTTGACGGCAATTGGAGCAGCGGCAACTGCATGCGGGGAGGATGCTCCGTGAGATTTGCCCCAATCAGTTCAATATCAAAGAGTTAGTTTTTTAATTTAAATAGATAATTTCGAGTAAATTAGACACTTTGTGATGTTAATTATTAATCTTTTTTTTTTTTAAAAAAAACTAAATAAATGAGACTTATGCATGATAGTTTAATTTTATATTGTGGCATATATTCATTTGATAATCTCAATTTCATATTTATGAAATAGAGTTTCTGACTTCTGTATGTTGTAATACTTTTTTTAATTATACTTAGTTATCAAATATACTGTTAAAGAAATTTCTTTAAATATTAAATTTTTTTTTTCCAGCTACTTTTAAAAAAGGTATCATTTTAATGACAATGGCTCTCCAAGCTTCTGCTTCTTGTGGTGTAACTGAAGGATTTTCTATAACTCGAGCTGGAAATGATAGATGTGGTCTTGATGATCTTGTTTCACGAATTGTTGATGATGAGCATTTAAATACTGCTCTTTTGCAAGAACATGCAGAGTTTTTAGGTTTAACTTTAAACAATGGGATGTTTGCTACGTCTAATAGGTAAAGTTTTTATAAATGGACATGATATATAATTTTTGTTTGTTATTGAATAAAATACTATATTTTAATGTTGACCCAGAATTAGTTTGGAACAGTGTTGGGATTTTGACTTTAAGAAATTGATTTCTTCCATGACACTGAAAGAAAATGGGAAAACGAAGAAATGGAAGAATCTGAACGAAATGGAGTGAACTAAAATTGACTAATACAATTGTTTAACGATAACTGATAAATAAATAGTTTAAATTTAATATAAATAAAAAGAGTAAAAAATTATTTTACAAAAACACCTATTTTATTATTACATATTCTAATTTCATGTAGAATTTGAAAGCCCATATTTTTATTTTTGTTATCTTTATTTTCCTAAATACATCTGTATACTTATATCTAGATGATGTCACATTATATTATTTTCAATTTACTGAATATTTTTTAAAGTTTTAATTATCTGAAAAAAATATATTACTTGGTAAAAAAAATTTTTTCAAAATTATTACTTCATTCAAATTTTTTTCAATTGATTTTTATTGCAAGTTTTTTTTAAGGCCAATGTAGTTTTTAGTAAGTTTTGATATTAATTTTGTTTTTTGAATTGTTTTCTTTTTTATTTAATTCATTTTCTTTTTTTGATTTATTTCACAATAAAATAAAAACTAGTTTGGGCTCTCAAAATTTATAACATTAGTAATATTAGTAAATCGCAAGCAATATACTGTAAAGCTAACAAAATATGAAAGGAAAAAAAACCTTAGCTATAACATTTATATTAGAAAACTTACAAGTTTTATTTTTAAAAAATTAATGCTTACAACTTTTAACGCAGAATTTTTACTCAAGTATTAAAAAAGCTTTAAAAAGTTTACCACATAATTTTTCAAAAATAAATCAGTGATTTGAAAATGAAAATTCAGTAATTTGTGAATAATAATGTACACTGTTTAATACTCTTTAGTATAAAGTTTATTTTATAAATAATAATTAACTTATAATTTTGAGATTAGATATATAGGAATACAATTTGTATTAAAAATATTTATTGATAAATACCTTTATTATACCATCTTTTAATTTTTTTTAGTATTCATATCTAACAGAATTTAGTTTTGAAAAAATTAGTTTGCTGTTTGTTATTATGATTGCAATGTGTCATTTGTAGTATAAATAAATGTTGTTTATATTTCTAAAATAAAGTTCGACTATACTCCTTTATGTAAAACATTGAAAAAAAATCACAATTGTTTTCATTCCTTAAGAGTGCATTAAATTTCTTTTCTTTCCAATTTTTGCTTTTTTATTTTCTCTTATTTAAGGATCTGTTAACTGACTGGAAATAATGCTATTATTTAAACTAGATTGCAATGATAAATTGTTTAAAATATTAAATTAATACTTGATACTTCTTTATTAAAAAGAGTTTCTTCCACTTGGATACGAAGAAACCTATTTCTTGTGCTATAGTTTTTCCACAGTTTTATTCCACTGTGGAAGACATTTGCCATACATAATTTTGATTTGCTTAAAAAACTGGTTAATTCTTTCATTTACCTTTAAGAAATTTAAAATAACACACGTCTTTAACATCCTGTTATTATTCCCTCTGCACCTAAGTGATCTAGCATAATTATCATCCCTTTTAAACTTTAGGGCTATATGAGTAGAAAGGGCTAAACTCTTGATAAGGATATGTTGAAACCCATTAAAAATCATAAAGAAAGGAATGTGAAAATCCCTAAGACTTTATATAGAAACGCTCCCAAGTAATTTTAGAAAACCATTACTCTTTGTTTATATTTCATTATAGATCAATATTGAAATCTTCTAACTTCAAGAATTTTTTACTTTTATTTTTGAGAAATCAAAAGAATATACAATTAATGTAATGTTTTTGCATGTAAGACATTAACAGCTTAAAACAAAGCAAAACAAGTGACAAAATCTACAGTTTACCTATTCAATTTTAACTACTCTAACTGACATAACTGAACTTTCATTAACTAATTAAAAATTGGGTCGCTGAAAACTTTTGTGTAATAATTTTAAAATTACTTGGAATCAAACTTCAGTGAAAAGAAATATCTTTTTACTCACAAGTAATGAGCACAACTGTGGAAATTTACTTACGGATGTAACTTAGTATATCGTTAGGATACCTTAAGAATGTCCACTCTTTGTAATGATGAAACACAATAGCCAGCCAATTCTGAAAAATTCGCATTTGAAAATTTAAGCTCACTTTATATACTAGTTAAATTATCACTTCATTAGTTGTGCAAAGGCCTAAACGATAGGGTATCTGCCTGACTGCAAGTCACTTAAGGTTTCATTCACACAGTAAACCTCTTTATTTCTTATATATATTGTATTTTTTCAGTTAGGTATTACTCATTTAAATTACAGTAATAATCAAGTAAGACATTTTAAGAATCATGTTTAATTGACAAAATCAAGAAAATAAATTCTTGTGAAGACTGTATATTTAAATGCAAACAATAGTTCATAAATTTTCCTTGCCAATTTTTAAAAAAAATTATAGTTTGTGATTGGTATGCCTCTAACTTTTCAAGAGATAGAGATTTTTTTAGAAATATTAATGAAATGTGTATTTCCGAAGATCAGTTACAAAAGCGTTATTCATGTAAGCAATCATTATTTCTTTAACTATGATAGATAACAAAACTTTTTGTTTTAAATTTTTTTCATAATAATTGTCATCTTCATCAAGATTATTGTTCGTATAATAAAGCATATATAATAAAGCTTATTGATAAAAATTCAAATATTATTTACTAATATTAGCACTTTTTATTAATATTATTATTATTTCAACCATAATTTTTTTATTGAAAGGTTAAATTACTGTAAATTAAATATCAAGAATTAAGATAAATAAAATAAAATATTTAAATTAATTCTAGTATTTGTAAACAGAAAAATCTTCATTGAAAAAAAGCAAAGGAAAAGGAAATAAAATAATCACTGCATGAATCAAGCTCCAAGTTTCTTGTAATCAGGCAAGTACTCTACCATTAGGCAAATACACTGTTGATGAAGTAAAAATTTAACAAGCATATAAAGTGTGTTTAAAGTTTCAAGTGCGTTTTTCTCAGAATTGTCTGGGTATTGTGCTTTAATTTTTTAAGGGCGAACACTTAATGTACGCAACTAATATGCCAATTATCATTTGCACAGGTTTCAGTATATGCAATAGGAGACTGGCACATTCAATTTGGACCATATCTGTATTTTTAATGCAAATCGTCTCAATAATATTGCAATTTCATTGTTGTAGTTTTTTTTTTTTACCTTATGTCCAGCATGTCTCTGAACATATTCCTTTAAAAAAAAAATTTCTGATGTAGTGCTGTAAAGTTTTTTAGAAGTTTTTAGAAAAAAAAAATTCTTTTAAATCTATCACACTGTTGTTCCTTCTTATCTTTATAGAATGAAAATTATTGGTTTTGTAATTTATTATTTTTTTCTATCAAATGAAGATATTGTAAGCTATTATAGGTTCGAAAATAACTTCTTCATCTTGTTGTTCTGTAGTAGAGGCGACTCTAGCTCTTATCTAATAGCATTTTCATAACTCTCCATATTTTTCATAGCTTGCTGTTTTGAATGTCCTTCCATTAAATTAAATTACTAGCAAAAATTAGAACATCTTAAGAATTACAAAACTGATTGCTAGTTAATTTATAAAAATTAATGTTTCAGAAATATTGATTTACCTTCAAAAGCCATATCTGATGTGCGGTGTAATAATCTGAAAAAGGGAGGTCATTCTCAAGAATTCTTAGCACATTATAACAACACTGAATGTGACAATATTGGCTTCTTAGAAAAATCAGCACAAGCTCAAAACTTGGGTCCAAATACTTCCTTCAGTTCTTCATTTGATCATGAAAACTGTGATGTATCATCCTTGAATTTTCAAAATAAAATGTATCAGGTATAAATTTTTAAATTAATTTCCTTTAATATTTAACTTTTGTGTTTTAAATGTAAAGAAATCTGTACAAGTAGATGCTTTTATAGCAATTAAATAATGAGACTGCTTTGATTTTCTTTTCAACTATAGTGGAGAAATGGTATGCTGCTGTTTCCTTTATTCATTGTTATTTCTTATGTTCTACCTAAGAATGTTAAGTTCAGGAAACATATAGTTTAACATTAACATTCGGGGTGAAAATATCAATAAAATGTTTCACGACTTTATCAAAATCTTATGGCCTCTATTAATTAAGTCAATTTAACATGCTGTTGTGTAGGAAATGTGACAAAAGTACTAATAGTTCAAGTGTATGGAACATAACAAAAAGTATTCTCAGATTCTATGTAAAAACCATTTTTTGAGTCATCACTTGTATTTGCAATAGTCTTGTGTACTCGTGATGTAACGATCTTACCTTATAATCTCCATTTTTGTTTGAACTACTGGAGTTATTATATTGAGGATCAACTGTATTACCACATAAGGCTATGAAATTTTTTTGAACAGAATGGAAGAAATTTCCCTTTTTTAAATTTCTATTTTACTTCAATCTTTCAGCTTAAATCAAACGATTGTTTTCTTAACATCAAAAAATATGTGAATGTACTTTATTTATCTATTTTGGTCCAGTTTTCTTTGTATAATAGACATTTTTAACATCTAGGTGCCAAGACATGCCCGAAACATGTTTCCTCAAGATGATGGAAATTCTATAAATTATGATGATTGGGGAACATTTGATGCTTTACAAAAAGCAGATAACCAGAATGATTTATTCTGTGAGCCAGATTTTCCATTTTCAGATTTGGATAACAATACACTTTGTGATTCTATCGATCAACAGGTACATAAAGTTTAATATATAATTCAAAATTTTAAAATTCAAGCCAAAATTTCATTGACTTATATTTTGATTCAATTAATTTAGTTCTGGACTCAGGATTTTGGTAAACAAGTATCAGAAGCTCTAAACATGGCTAACAATGCTACTTCGTGGTCCCCACTTGCAACAACTTCATTCTCTCATCATACCTCCAGTCAGATTAATTCATCAGCTGTTTCATCTCATGCTCAGATGAATGAGTTGTCTAGAAAACAGGTACTTTTTATTTAAATCTGATAGCTATTGATCAGTTTTATGCTTTTTTTATTAAATGTTTTTTTTTTGTGTTACTCATATATTAATTTATAATGAGACAATGAGGACATTAAGTTATACAATATTAACATTTGATTATATTTGAAGGGCTTAAGGCAATATTATGTTTAATCTCATTTTCATTGTAAACAAAATTTATAAGGTACCCAATGGAGACAATACTAAGGTAGAATTTGATATAAAAATTTAACCTTTGGAAAACGTTTGGTTTGTTTAAACCCATTTATACTCTCTCATCTGTTCCCTTACCTGTATGGAAATTTTTCGAATCATTAAATCAGTTTAATATATTTGTTTTCAATTTCATTTTATTAATAAATGACACATAGACTTGTATGATTCTATACAATATAAGTTAATTTTTTGGAAAAGATGATTTGATTATTGGTAAGGAAATGTATTTCATGTTATATTTTTAGCTAATGAAAAGGGTTTATGGTAAGCCTGACCCTCCCCCTAATTATAAGGGTATACGGGATAGTCATGATGAACTCGCAATGACAGTCCCCCTCAGGAAAGGAGAGGCAGGTTCTAATCAGCACGAGTGCTGGTCGAGCAGCAGGGTGAAGCCCCTCCTTGGCTTTTATTTACAAAACTCATTGAAAAATTACTAGCATTACAACATTGTTGAACATATTATCGCTATACAGACTTAGCATTCAAATTGGTTGGAACATTAATATAAAGATGGTTACACAATTCTATTCTGAATGACAAACCAAAAGGTCCTTTTAAAATTTATGAAAACCTAATTTGTAGAATCATAAAAGGAGATTAAAATTGAAAAAAGGCTAGAGGAAAGAGGTTTGTAGAATCATAAAAGGAGATTAAAATTGAAAAAAGGCTAGAGGAAAGAGTTACTAATGAAGACAAATCTAGGTGTAGGAAAATAAAAATGAGGTAACTTAAATGTGTAAAAATTTCATAATATATAATTTCGTAATTAATCTAAAATTATCTTTTATAATTTTAAATCATTATGTTAGCCCCTCTCTTGTAAAACATGCTTTCCAATAAAAACGTTTTTACCTCTACAGCATTGGGTAGTATGCATTTAGTTAGAAATAAATTATTGCAACTGCTTTCTTTATCAAATAACATTTAAATTTATAAATTTTTGTTGATCAGATTTTTTTTTTCAATTTTAGTTAAATTCATATAACCAGTGGAAGTGTTCTAATTTCTTCCTTTTCTTAGTGATATGATGTAATTTTTTATTGTTTTCTTATATCCTCAGAATGACAGCTAAAATATTGATTGTTAGATCATCTTATTATAATTTCCCATTATAAAATGTCTACACACACTCAGATGTTCTTTTTATTTTTTATACTTGATTAGCCCTATTTATTCTGTTTCAAATGCAATTAATGAAAACTTTAGTAAGAATTACAAAATTTTATTACCCTAGCCAATAATAGATTAATAAGCTTTTTTTAAAATATGATTGGGCCTTGTATTATAAACCTCATATTCAGTTTAATTTTCTAAATAAGTATTAAATAGTCGTAGTCATTTTTAATTTCATCTTATTGCATTGAATTTAACTGCACGGTGAATGCAATTTGTTAGTATTTTTATAATTTAAGTTGAATATGTAAGTTTTATAAACTTTTCTAATAAGCCTTTATGTAAACTCTTGTACTACTATATTTTATGTATTATAGTATCTTTTTTTCAGGACCGAGAAAAACTTGTTAATGGTGAAGTTCAAATGATGCTTTTAAATGAGAATCATTTTAATAAAGACAATGGACATCCAAACAATAGAACTTATAAGCCAATTTCATCTGCATCTAGCTCAAGTTCTGATTCCCAAACTGATATTATGACATCTACTCTAAGTCAAAATATTTTGAATATGGCCAATATATCGGAAGCACATGATTCATTTTCTGCTGCATCTTGCCATGGTATTCATGGGATAAATTCATCACCATCATTAAAGGGCTCAGTTTCCTCAATAAATAGAAATGGAACTTTAAACCAAATCTCTCCAGCTTATCAGAATTTCCCTCGTAATTTAAGTTCTCGTTACCAGACTGCTCAAAAAGCTATCTCATCTTCACAAATATCTACTGAAAATGATTGTCTCTGTCCAATGTTTGATAATAGTGCCAATACTACTTGCAATTTCGACAATATTTCATCAGTTCGAAGTGGACATAACTTAAATAAAATACAGTGTCAGAGGTCACATCAAGCCAGCAATTCTGGTTTTTGTTGTTTGAAACAGCCAGAGTTTCTGAAGCATTATGTACGCGGAAATGATATTTCATGCTTAGACAAAAACTTATCTTCATCTGATATAGATAAACCTTTATTAGGAGCCATTAATTCCAATAGATTACCCATATCTCCTGAAATTCTTCAGCATTTATCTGCTCGTACTTTGGCAGGATTATATGCTTTTGGCTTATATCATGATATGTTGCATGCTGACTTAAGTAACTGTGATGGAGGACCACTCACTCTACCTTCAGGGATGAAATATCCATCACATGTTTTTGGTTCTTCTCCAATATCTGAATCTCTTTTTGAAGTTTATCATCCGTATGATTTTATTCATCGTAGAGGACCATCATCTGTCTATGGAACTAATGACATGTTTTTTGACCCTACATCTTCAGCTTTTTTCTCTGTGCCACCTACTTTCATTGGAATGCGCCCTCTTCGGTAATTAAATATCAGCAAATTATAATTATATTTCACTATTTGTTACCAAGGTTATAATCTCCTTTACTGAGTATTTTTTTTTACATTTTCTTTTTAGGCGTAGCGGTCCCTCAAACGAATTGCATCTTCGACTAGAAGAATGTTATGAGCAGTTTAGACATCTTGAGAAAGAACGAAAAAAGGTATTAATTTTTTGTTTTAGCATATGTTTAATTATATTTATTTCATTTAATATTTTTCTGCATAAAAGTTTAATTTGATAGCAAAGGAAATTGTTATTTCACAATATCTAAGTTTGTATTCAGCTTTTAATAAGTTTCTTTAAATTCATATTGAAGGTTAAATGTCTAATAAGAATTTTTATATACTGTCTTTGTCAAAAGTCAGAGCATAGCCCTATTATCCAAACAGAAGACCCTTTATCAATTCAAAACTTTGTTTATTGGACTTATTTTCAAAATAAGCAACATTGTCGATAGGGGAAAATAAAAATAAACTAGCCTTTACATTTCGACCAATTTATTTGAGAAATATATTTAGTAACAAACAAACAACTAATGAATAGACATTGAACTTAGCACACTATGTTTTAGGATGCATCTGATAAACAACACGTAGAAGTGTTTTAAAAAGTCCACATTATACGTCGCATATTTATTACCATGGCGCAATTATTTCATTAATCCTGTATAAAGTTCAAATTAGATTTAAATCAGTGTTATTTAACCCTGCGATATTCATTCACTTTAACCAGTTGTATTGTATTATCAAATGCTAAGGAATGTGAAATAAGAAATGTAAATTAACTTTGATTTGTTCTTATTAACACTTTATAAAAGTTGCCCACATTAAGAGAAATCTTACTTATATAAAACTGTGGATTATGATGATTTATTAAATAATTTTCGATACTGTGTTGTTGATTCTGTAAAATATTATAATACTTATAGGATTTTCACTCTTAACTATTCATTCAAATGACTTTTTTTTCTTTTTGTAAATTTAGTGCTTAAATTGCACGTATTGAAACAAATATATTTATATCAATATTAATTTATTTAGACTGAAGCAGAACTAGCTCGCCAAAACCCTGGTAAAAAAGTTTCCAGCACAAACACTATCCCCATCCCACGCTTGGCAGCTAATCCATCGCGAGTTGATCGTTTGATTATTGATGAACTGCGGGAGCATGCTAAGGTATAGTTAGATGTTTTTTGTCACAATACAATAAGTGTTTAAATGAGGAAGAAATGTAACAGTTTCTTTTTCCTTTAAAAATTGTGTTACATTATTGTGTTAAAAAAAATTGTGTTACATTAATATATTAAATTAACATAGATGTTAGGGATATACTGAGCTTGTTCTATGTATCTCATAAAATCATTGTAAAAGCTTGATCAAGACTGATTCAGGCATAATAAAAATCTATATTTATAACCTGAGAAGAAAATGAAAATAATTCTGTGCATCAAATTACAGTACTGTTTTTTCTTGATGCTGGTGTTTGATCAGTCTTAGTTAACTCTGTAATTGCATAATTTTGAGAAAAATGTTAATAAAAGTACCCAGTTTTTTTATTCTTGAATATAATATAAAACTATGTGTATGTGCAATATATAAGTATGTATGTGCAATGTATGTCCCAATATATAAGTGGAATTTTCAAAGCTCTGAAATTTTATGAAAATCAAGTAGACATTCGTTGATAGTGAAATATTGATGCACTATAAACGAAGGGATAGGTAAGAATAACTCTGTATCTATTTATTCCTTTCAAAAACCCTTTTAGATGTGTTAATGTGTTATATACAATTAATTTTGCATTTTTCCTCATCACATCTTCTTTACATATAAAGTATTTTTAGAATCAATTCGTTAAATTACGCTCGGAAGAAAAATTAAGAATAAGAAAAGTTAAGATAATTTATTCAAGAGTATTTCAAAAAATATATCTCAATGAAAACATAAAGCTGAAAATTTAAAAATGCTAGAACATTATCTGTGTCAGATTCAATAATGTTAGCTGTATCATCATACAATATGCATGAGTTCCACAAAAAATTTTCTTCACCCCTATCTACAGAATTCAAAATTCCACACTTTTTGAAAGGTTTTGCAATAAAATGGAAATTTCCATATTTAGTTTTTTCAGCAGTTGAAAAATATACCCAACTTGCTAGAAATTTGGTTATTTGTTTAGTTGGAGCATTGTCACCATAAACTTCTACAAGCATTCGATGTGCTCAGCTGCACTTTTCTTCCAATTAAAGCAGAAGCATAAAACCTCCCATAAATGCTGCATAGTTACCACAAAATTTGACCTATTCAACAAAGTAAAAAACAGGGTTTTTGTATGAAACTCAAAGCGATATAATCTGAATATTATTGACAGATGTTTAACCTCTCTGAGACCACCGAAACCAGCTGTCGCTATGAAACATTCATAACAGCCAGAGCCATCTTTTGAAAATGGACTGAACTAATTTGTACTCCCAATAGTATAGAATGTCATTATAGAAAGTCAAATTAATCAAGTCAATAAAAGCAAAAAAAAATGAAGTAAATCTTATTTCTCTCTTATTGATTTAATAAAATGAGATCACTCAAAATTCAGCAGGTCTAACAAATGCTACTGTAAAATTTTTAATCTAAATATGTTGCTAGTATTAGCATGTTAATAATATTTTTCTTTAGAATTAAATCATAATTAAACTTATTGAAAATAATTTATTCTTCCAAAATATTTTTTATTGGAGCATTATCATTTCACATTGTTTGTTGTTAATCTAAAGGTATGCTATGGCTAGCTAATATTATATGCTCTTTTTTAAAAGATTTTTACATGCATGTAACATTATATACTATTTAATCTTCGGTGATACTTGTTTTATCCCACCCTTAGAAAAGTTTTATTTTAAATTATCTAATCAGCATTTTGTATTAGTATGTATCAAAAAATATTATTCATATTATCGTTTGAGAAGATCACCTGGTTTTGATTTTTTAAAGATTTTGATTTTGTTAGTCTTAATCATTTAATGAAGAAATTTAGTTTTAACTCGGACTGTGTTTATTATTGTATTCTACCGAGAAAAAAATTAGGGACCAAGTTCAAGAATTTGAACGTTATCTGATCATTATTGTGTCATCTATTATAAATATATTATGTAGTGCATGAACTTAACATTAACAAAAAAATATTTAAAAATCCTATCTTGAAAAGGATATAAATTCCTGGCTTTGGATGTAATGTTGAATATTTGGTATTGTAAGCTAAAAAGTACTTTATAGGATAGGAAAAATTCCATATTTTGATGTATCACAAAATTTTTTAATATCTTATACGTTTATTTTAAAAATGTAGTAACATTATTAAAAACATATAAATACACAATTTCAATTTTATTCTTTATGTATATCACAATATTTCTTAATATCTTATACGTTTATTTTAAAAATGTAGTAACATTATTAAAAACATATAAATACACAATTTCAATTTTATTCTTTAAAAATTTTAAAACCAAAAATAGTTCATGCTACCCTGTCTAAAATAATTATCTTCTAAGCATTTAAATTATGTTTCTACTAAAATGGCACAAAATTATTATGAAAACAAAGTATTGTATATTTTTTTACATGAGTAATATGCTGTTTCATAGGGTTAAAGGGAAAATCTAATCAACCGTTTGAAACTCTGAATCTAACGTGCACAAAAAGAAGAAAGTAATAATTATTAAAAAGATAAAAGAAAGATAATTAATTATTAAAAGAAATATTAAATTTTGCCTAGTATGATTGAGTAAATGAAGTTCAATTATTTATTGTATTCCAGTCTATAGCACAAAATTATTATGAAAACAAAGTATTGTATATTTTTTACATGAGTAATATGCTGTTTCATAGGGTTAAAGGGAAAATCTATTCAACCGTTTGAAACTCTGAATCTAACGTGCACAAAAAGATGAAAGTAGTAATTATTAAAAAGATAAAAGAAAGATAATTAATTATTAAAAGAAATATTAAATTTTGCCTAGTATGATTGAGTAAATAAAGTTCAATTATTTTTTTGTATTCCAGACTATAGCACAAGATTATTATGAAAACAAAGTATTGTATATTTTTTACATGAGTAATATGCTGTTTCATAGAGTTAAAGGGAAAATCTAATCAACCGTTTGAAACTCTAAATCTAACGTGCACAAAAAGATGAAAGTAATAATTATTAAAAAGATAAAAGAAAGATAATTAATTATTAAACGAAATATTGAATTTTGCCTAGTATGATTGAGTAAATGAAGTTCAATTATTTTTTGTATTCCAGTCTATAGCACAAGATTATTATGAAAACAAAGTATTGTATATTTTTTACATGAGTAATATGCTGTTTTATAGGGTTAAAGGGAAAATCTAATCAACCGTTTGAAACTCTGAATCTAACTTGCACAAAAAAATGAATGCATGTGTAAATTTTTTCATTGGTAATTTTATGGAATCTAACTTTTGAAACCGCTTAGAAAATGTTTCAGATTTCTTTCTTTTTTAAAACAAAGGAAGAAAAAAAACGCATATATACTATTAATTTATTGTGAAAAAATACTGTTAAAAACCGAAAAGAAAAAAAATTAAATATTTGTGGAAAGGTTTTCAATGCGTGACCTTGAACAGGAAGTTTAGTCACAATGAAACTATCTCTGCTTTTCAAACATTTATATGTGATTAACTACTGAACCATTTTAAAAAGGTATCTTTCTCGCCTCTTGCTGAAGTTCTCAAGGACAAATTATTCTTTCAAGTTCCGACGAAGTTTTTCTATTGAGAGTTTTACAGTTTGTCATAATTTAACTTGCTGGGCACAAAATAAATTGTTACTCCTTCTCTAAAAGATAAAGGAAAACGAAATCATTCCTGCCTCTTCCACAGGCGAGGTGGCATTTCCTGCTTATTGTTGCGTTATCGGTCAGAATGCGTTTTGGGAGGGCTCTTATTATTTATTTTGGTTACTGTCATTTTTAAAATTCTTGACAATAGTTATTTCAAACACCTGCAGAAAGACCACACCATGACTAAAGGAAATGCATGTCTTACCATCATTGTGTCAATAGAACTTGTATAGATGTGTCTTATAACAATTGATGACTTAAAAATTTCATATGGACATGGAAATCGTGAAATACTTCTCAGAGTAATGACGAAGTGAAATAACTCAGGGGATACTTTTTTTGAACAAAACCTTTCCTACTAAAGATAAAAATAAATAAGAAATTAAGAGGAATATTCCTTTTTGTATTAGAAAAAGAAGGGAAAAAGGAAAGTATAAAGAAAACCAATCAATCTATAATTGCAAAATTTCAAAATTGAATAATATCTTTATTCTTTCAATATGGGGGTCAAATGTAAGGTAAATGGAAACGTGGCAAATTTTTTATTGCTCAATATTTTTGCTGTAAAAAAGATTTTACAATGGAGTTTTTTTATTCTTTGAACTTACTTCAAACATATTCTTTATTTTCAGTGTCTTTATAATTATCTTTTATATTTCTAATAAGGTCTCTATAAAATATACTTGCAAAATCTTAATGAATTTCTATTTAATATACGCGTGTAACATTTCTGTTTTCAAAACAGAAATGAAGGCGAAACGTTCTCGGAAAATTTTTAATCAAAGAATATTTATATTTTAATTTTGTTTGAATGTTATAGACGCTACTCTAAGGGGAAAACTAACAAGTTAAATGAGTAAAAAATGTTTAACAAAACAAAATCTACATTTGCTATTCTTTTTCCCAGATAAAAGTACTTTCGGAAATGTATAAGAGATACAATGTTCATCGTTTCAAATTCTAATAGTTTGCTTTACAAAATTATAAAAGCTAATTAGTGTGTTCAAGATTTTAGGATAAGAATAGAACTTCAAATAATGGTTTATATATTCGAAAAAATTAAAAGAGATTTGCTTATAACAGATTATTAACAATCTTTCAGATGCAATAAAACGCACGTTTTATAAGAGCACATGCACATTTTAAAATGCACATTTTATTAAAATATTTTTTTTTTATTCTCTTTTAAAAAATTTAAAGAGATTTGTTTATAATAGTTTATTAACAATCTTTCAGATGCAAAAAAAATTCTTATTTTATATTAAATTAGCAACATATTTAAATCATTTTTAAATGAATGCTTTCTTTGCATTAGAAAAAACATCACTTTATTAAGTAAAATTAATTTAAAGCTGTATTTCAATTTATTCTCATAATGTGATAAACGTCACATATAAAAAAATGCCAAAGTTTGCATAACTATGCCAAAACGTCTACGATAACGATATACATAACAACCCTACTACTTTTGCATCCTCGAAAAGTAACTCACAAATTACAACAAAACGTTTCCTATTCATAGCTTGTTAAAATAGTTACCACCCACTGACTGAGTGGGGGAAGAATTTCTGCAAAAAGGCGCCGTAACGAGAGGAGAATTTTTTCACCTGACTAGCCGCAACTAAAAGTTTAATATACCAGATTTAGATATGATTTAAACAACTCAATTTTTTATGATGCGGATAACTACTTTTTTACTTTAACAATGATGAGAACAGCTTTGAATCATACGATTATAAAATTTTATATAAAGTTTATTTAACATATTCTTACATTAAAATTTTTTTTAATGAATTGATATATTTGTTATAAATTAGTAACAATTTAAAATTACTGAACTCTATTTGTTTTGACCTTTTTAAAAAATTTATTCCTCATGTGTAGTCACTCAAAAATGTATTGATCATTCTTTAATAAACTAAATAAATTTCAAAAGTTATAATGTAATGGAAATTTTCTTTAAGTAAATAAGTTTTATTATTGCTAGCTCAAAAATGTTTTGATTCATGAATTTAGATCCATGAATAAAGTGCAGAAGCAAAAATATTATAAGTTAAAATTGCAGCATTGTGTTTAAAATTATATTCTCTTTAATATTATTTTCCCCATGTGTAATCATGTAATTTTTATTTACAATTCAAAGATGTATTGATTATATTTATTAGAATAATAAGCTATTAAGAATTATAAATTATTTTAAACTGTTTTGATTCATGAGTTTAAGCCCAGAGATAAAATTAAAATTACCTAGCTGTCAGCTTATATGATTGTTAGCTAAGATATGTACTAATATAATACTGATGTTAGGAAGAATTATATTATATTTTACATATATATGTTGAAATTATTGATTTGTCATGGTAAGTAAAGCAAATCTTTTTAAACGTAAATGTTATTACAATCAAGAAAATGCTTCCTCATTACTGTTAATGTTGGCAGTTAGGATGGTGCAAAAGATAAGTCAAGCATAAAGGAAGTCTTGACCACTATATTCAGTAAAACTGCAAATCCTGTAAAAATTTTATTTAAGCATGTTTTGTAATAAAAATGCTATTAAAAAAATTATTGCAGGTTATTACATTAATTGCAAAGATGGAGCAACTACGTAAAGCTGCTGTTCATTCGAATATCCATTTGACAATGGAGAAGTGGTTGGATGCAATTCGTAATGTTCAAGCTCGTAGAAGAGACGAAATAATCAATGTTGCTAATCGTCAACGCAGCTCAGCTAGCCGAATCCAGGAAGATAAAGGCAAGTTTTAAAATATTTAGTGTATACTTTTTTAAACAGTCACAAAAGCATTTTGAATTTATGTATTATTTTATGGGCATTCTTTACTTTTATTAAACACATATATTTTAGTGAAGTCATTGAAAGATCTTGCAAAAAATACTTTATTTGGCTACAAGCAGGGCTGCCAACTTTCATTGCTTTTTGGGAAATTTGTTTTCTAGTGATAACTAAGATTGTTTTAATGTATTATTCTTTGTTTTGTAAATTTGATTTCAAATTATTTTCTACACCACTAGGTTCAAATGATTCAAAAATTTATGTAAAACATCACTTTGCATTGCAAACAAACATTCCAAAAGCTTTAGTTTTCAATACCTACCCCTCTATAAAATATTTTCCAAAAAGCGTAGGAATTGGCATCCCTATATATTGGAACAAGTCATTTACCCAATTTCAATATTTTGAATAGGCTTTGTTTATTAAGTATTGATTATTTTGTCTGTTTATAACAGATGTGAGTAACCTTCAGAAAGTTGCAGGCTGTAGGTATTAGGTAGCTGTGAAAAAATACTCATGCAGTTTATTTTATATGCAATTGAATATGATAAAAACCTATTTATCCGTCTTTCTTGAAATTAGTGTCATTTTATACCTACTATTTACTTTTTTACGCCAGATATTCTTTCATACATTTTTAAAAGTAAGAAAACTTAATAAGAAGCAAAAATTATGGCTATGCTTCATATTAAATTAAGTGCACCTAAAAGGGACGAGACATGTGATTGAGGGTGCAATAGGACATTCCACAAACATCTGTAGTGAAATGCAGAAGTGTTATGATCATGGGTTTTAGTGACACATAACTAGTAATCAAAATTATAAGTTTGCTATATTCTTCACTATAAGTGAGTCGTGTAGAGATAAATAGTTCCTACGAATAAAACTCTTTCTGCAAACATTTTGATTTACTGATAAAAAAAAAGCTGACGCAACATGGTAAAATCCATTTTATTGCTGGTGAAATCAGATAGACAAAAGCAAAGCCTTGTTACACTATTTCTCTCCCACAAACTCAAAATTCCTCATTGTTTTTTCTTTTGTTTTTACCTCTCTCGAAGATTTGTAACCTAGTGACAATTTTTCTGAGACATCCATCTTATCAGATAGTAATTTTGGATAAAAATATAAATTTTGTCAATTTATTTTAAAATCTAGCCAGAAGAATGCTTTTTTCGCTCCCTTTTTGACAAAAACTGAGATTACTTATTTTCTTCACTGTAATCTTAAAATGGTCTGTGAATCAGAGGTTGCCCATATATGGTTTATTACTTTTTGTTGTACAGTAGTACACAAAATAAAAAATGGAACCTAAATCATTTTTAACCAGCTCATCTAATTTTCGTGCTCTAAGATGCAATCTTAATGGTTCATGGTCCATGCTTTGAATAGGCTGTTTAATTTATACAATCAGCATTCTGAGTTACAAAATCAGATACAAAATGTACTTTCTTTGCAAAACTCATCTTTTTTCCATGAATTTGGATTCTTGACCTTCAAAAAATGTGAAGTAGCCACATTTTAAAAAAAAGTAACCCAGTAATTTGGTCAAGAGAGCAGACGAAAGTTAGCAAAGCATGTGTTCTTCTCAAATTTTGTGTATTTTGCCATATCGTTTGAACTTTTTATACAAATAACAAATTTTTTACGTAAAATTTTAAAACTCCTTCATCCAAAGATAAATCCAGGTGAAGAAAAATTGTGATTATTATTTTATTATTGCTTAATTTTGTGATGGTTAAAAAATATTTGAATTGTGAGGCATACAATATTTTACCTCATTCTAAATTATGTAATTTTGAATGACAAAATCCAAAATATGAATGAAATCAACCACATTGCTTTTAAGTAATAAAATTTTAAAGAAATCATATCATTTCTTTTCAATTATCTGACTGATTCCCCTCAAAATTTGGATATTCTCATTTTAAATTACGTTGTTCAAAATAGTTTAAAAAGTTGTAAAATTTACAATTAAAAATTTTTGCCATTAAATTTAATAATAAGTGAATATAAAAATAACTTTTTTGCATGGAATTATCTTTGTATTACCAAATTTTATTATTCTGTGTAAAAAGTGATTCTGATTCATTTAAATATTTCCAGAAATATTCAAAATAGAAAATTAACATTACGAGGTCTTAACTTATGATTACTTCTTCTCCCAACTAAACTGTTAAGACCATATTTTCCATATTGTAACTATTCTTCTCATGTTTTGTTGTCAAGAATCGAATTTCCTAGAAAAAATGTATTTATTCAGAGAAAGTACATTTTTATGTCTGGTTTTGTATCTTGAAATGTTGTTTGCACAAATTAATTACTGGTGTATTTCAGGTCATTTTTTCAAACTGTTAAGAATGCATGTTAGTACATGAAAATCCCATCATAAGAATAAAATTCTTCAGGTGGTCGGCTTTTTATTTTGCGCACCATACTTTTTGTGGGTTTCACTCACAAAGCAGAGTACACTTAAAAAAAATTATTACACAAGTAAACTGGAGAATACATTTATTAATACTTTAAATGTTTAACTTAGATCTAAAAATCGTAATGTTGAACAAATATATAAAGAATCATCAGCAACAATCTTAATCCTATGACGGATATCAGGCCATCGGCCTAAGACTGAAAAGAAGGGCAGGCTGTTCATCCATCATGAAAAGAATTGTTTGTTCTTTTATAGAACACGATGTCTTACGTCACATTGATTATTACTTGACTTCCCTTCACTTCCATCCTGGAGACGAATCAGCAAAAGACTAAAACAATAAAGTTTATGACTGGAAATTACTTATTTCCACACTTTGTTTATGAGTTTAATGTGCATGCTACTGACTTTTGATTTAATAAGCAGCTTGTCAAAATGCTTTTAAAATTTCTCAATAATTAAGAATTTCTGGAATAAAAAATCTTCTTGTAAAAATCATTTAAAAAAATTTATTATTATTTAAATATTTCACTTTCTGAGCTAACAATTTCCAACTCTATAAGAACACTCTCTTGTTTGTTTTTTCAACACAAAGCAATTTTAAACTAATGCATTATGATATACAGTATTGAAATAAATTATCATACTCAGAGATTTTTAATGACGCCTGGTGGCTGAGTGGTAGCGCATCGCGCTGTCGTGCCACAGGTCCCTGGTTCGATCCTCGGGCCAGGCAAGGTTGACTCAGCCTTTCATCCCTTCAGTGGGTGGATAAATGAGTACCAAGCATGCTTGGGAACTAAACACTGGGGGTTCCACGTTCGGCTGACCACCTGACCTGAACATCTGCTCCTGCACCCCAGAGCCCAGGGTCAGGAAAACTGAGATGGGCACAGTAGGCCTTGGCCCTCAAGGGGTGTCGCGCCGCTAAGTTTAGTTTATTGATTTTTAATAAAGAATCTATCATTTTAATTATCAAGTTAATTATCAAGACGTAGTCTATTGAAGAGTATTAGAAATTATTGCATTTCTTTTTCTAAAAATCAGATTTATAAACATATAAAAGGGGAATCTACAAACATAATTACCATGAGCCATTAAGAATTTCTCTTATCTCTAAACGTCCTTTCATGTGTTCTCATTAAAAATGTTTGCGACCAGTGATGTTAGATTAACCTGATAAATTTTTAAATTTCTCTTTGATAGCAGAAAGATGAATACGGTGCCATTACCAGTGTTCTAGTGCTAAAAAGTTTTTCCCCACAAAGCAGTTCTCAATGACTGGCTGAGTAGGGGAATGAAAGAGAAAATAAAATTAACTCATTATATGCATACTTTGTTCTACCGATACAGAAAAACAGGAGAGAATTCTGGAAAAAAATTATATTCTATGATTGTAAGATAAATTTAAAAAATTTCACACTATTAAATACACATGGTATTCCATAATAATTGTTAAATATATGTTTAGAATCTTGTTTAAAAAAAAAGTAAACACACTAGGGGTAACAAATTAATATTAAAACAAGGAAAAAGCATAGTATCGAAATCTAATGAAACGCAACCAAGGAAGCTAGACTGCAAACACCAAAACAATTTAAATTTACAAATTAAATTTAGTGGTTTTTAATGTTAGCTAATTTATATTTTACTTAATTTAATTGTTGATTGCTTACATTCAATTTTTTATTCACTTTCTCATTTATTTAAATTTATTCATCGTTATAATTTTTAAAATACTATTTATTTAGTTTCTAATGATTATTTTTAATTTCTTAGATGTTGTGGCCTTAGCTTCAAGCATAATGGAGTTAACCAAAGCATCTCGACAAGCTCGAACTTCTATGTGGTGTGCATTAATTACTACAGTTCTTTTAGATGTTGATCCAGATATTGCTACTGCTCAGTCATTGCCTTCAGATTTTCAGGAATATGGTGCTGTTAGTACTGCTGAAGAAGCTCTCTTAAATAAAGATACTGTTGAATTAAATGACCATTGCTCCTCCAGCAAAGAAATTTCTAGTGTCAAAAACGAATCAGAAAGCTTATCTAAAGGTATGGCAGCAAAAGAAGAACCGTGTAACAGTGCAGCTATAAATAATATATGTCAGCCTTCCGAAGAATTTGAAGATGCGCCAAAACCCTCTAATGAAGTAGCAGATAATTCTGCTGCTTAAATTCTGCAGTATTTGCCACTTGTATTAAGAAATTCCTGTTACAGGAAAATAATTTGTTGTTTTTAGCTCTTTGAATACTCTAGAGTTTTGATGTAATTTACACTTGCTTTGCAAAAATTTCGTAATAGAGTGAGAAATATTATGCAATATATTTCATATTGCCTTGTCCCACTGAGTACCCCTTCCATGTTTTAAAAACAAATCATTAAACTCATAGTACAAGTGTTTTGTGTGAATGCTTAATGTGTGAAGATAGTGGCAGCTATGTGAAGTTGTCAATCCTCTGACTATTTGTAAAATGTGATTATCAAATTGTAAATGTGTGTAGTTGAATGAATTTTAAATATCCATGTTGCTTACCACATACAATGTGCAGCTTTGCCTTCTAAATATATATGACACCCTTTGTGATGTAATTTTTCTCATCCTAACTTTTTTTTTATCCACAAGTTTTGAAGATATGTTTAAAATTTAAAAAAACAATTTTTATTCTTTGTTTCTTTTTAAACAATATTTTCAAATTAGTTACGTAAAATGTTGTGCTTCTTTTTAATTTGTTTTCTTACTTACATTCATGACTTGTGTAAAATGTTCTTAGCTTCCTACATACTTTCCACTTTAAGATATCAAAAGCAGTGTTGTAGTGGCAAATTTTTCAATGGGAGAATGCTAAAAATTCCAAAATTGCATGATAAATAGCACAAGTCATTTTGTGAACAATACAGATACTATAACAATACAGGAAAAAGTATTTTAAGTTTAGAAGTAAACAAAATCTGAAGCCAAAGTTGTAACCGAACGTTTATTTTTAGATTTTAACCATAGTATCACTTGTGCTTAACTTAATATACTTCTCCACATATAGACAAATTTTAACAGAAGGAAAAAAATTTCAAATAAACAAAACTGCAAAATTGACAAAAAGATTTCGAAAAAAAAAACAGTAGGGTTTTCTATATTTCTGTGCATACCCCCTCCACTACACACTTATCAAAAGATATATATCTATATAACTTTTCTTAAAATAACTATTTAATTATAGATTAGATGAAAAAATAATATAATTATTTTGAGCATTAGTTATACTCTCATAAAAGATCTTAAATTTTTCTTTCTAACTGGTAATAAGAAATTACTTGGCATATATTTTAATATACAATTTAAATATTTGTTTAAATATGGTTAGATTTTGGGAATCCAGAACTTTTGTTAGAACTTTTTTTTAGTGGAATTGTAGTACAGAATTTTATAGTCTAACAAAATGTTTTGGCATTGTTTATAATTTCTTTACCAAAATTTCTTTATTTAATGGACTGCTCTGATATACTTATTTCATTTTAAACAATATTTACTGGATAGTTGTTGAAAAGAAAGACCATCCTAGCTATTTCTCATTTAAATTTAAAATGCTGCTTTTTGAAAATTGAACAGTTAAAAATAATTTTTTTTCATACAAGCAATAGTGAATGTACACTAAATAATTTTTGAGATTAATAGATTTTTTATTTGCAATTGTTAATAATGATTTATTCGGAAACTTATTCAAGTTATTTGTTGTTACCTACTAAATAAATATGATTACTAACACTGGTGCTAATACCTATTGATCTATCTCATAAAATATATAAATTGTTTTCATTTTTGTTTTAACAAATTTCCTTAGCATTATTTGGTTGATTAATACTAAGAAAAATTTACCCAAAAGTTAGGTCTGATTAATTAACTAGATGTTAATTTAAGGATTTATTAATTAGACTTTAAAATGACTGTATCTTGGAATGGGTAAAGTTTTCATTGACACAACTAATGATTATGATTTATTTTGGCTTCATGTCAACAATGTATAGTTTAAAATTTTAATTAATTTAATTTATTAAACACATATATTTTTTTTCAAAAAAATATGGATTCAAATATTTTTTATTTACCTGCATAACATAAAAAAGTTTTACGAGCATATTGTGATTGCAAAATGTTATTAAGAAAACAGAATAAGCTAAAACTTGAACTTGTTATTAATCACTATATATGCTTAAAATATGTTTTTTTTTTTTTTTTTACTGTTTTGCCAAAAATCTTGCCTTGAAAACTTCTCAAGACAAGAAAATAAAATTGAAAAGATTTAAAGAAGATATAGACTCTTGAGATTAACAGTTTCACTTGATATTTTGCCTTATTTTTTCATCATACATTTTTTTAAGTTTTAAGAAACTATTAACTCAAAAAATCTATTTTGTTTAATAGTTTTTCAAATCTAATGATTTTATCATTTATGAGGCACACATTTTACAATGTAGCTCTTTGTATTATCATATGTGAGTTTGTTTTTTGATGTATACATTTCTTCCATATTTTCATTCATAGTTTTATACTTCAACTGAAAGAGCTTTTATTACTTATTTTCTTTATGGTTTTTGCCACAAATATTAGATTAGTTGTCTGTAATAATTTCTCAAAACTTTCCTTAAAATGTAATTGTAATTATATATTTCAAAAATGTCTTATGTGCCTAAGAAAATTCAGATACCAAAAATATATGCAATTTCTCATAAAATTCTGAGCAAGTTTTAATTAAACATCAACTACATTATGGAACATAAAAGTTTCAAGCGCCATCAAAAGTAATGTGAGATTTTGAGCAATAAATACTGAACACATCAGGTGTGCAAAAGCTATCATTCAATCAAGTATTTAGAAAAAGTTTTATCTTTAGATTATCTTAAATATGCATTTTAATTTAGTAAAAGTTCATAGATATCTTAGAATACATTATTCAGAAGCTATTGTTGATATTTATTAAACCTTGATAAATTTCATTATTCCAACAAATAAGCTGTGTTTTCTTTCTTTTTTAAAGTAGTCTAATGAATTCCTCTTTTTAAAATTTATAATTCTATGAAGGTTTTATGCGACAAAAAAAGTTTAAATTATTTATGTGAGAAACATACGGAACTCTATTAAATGTTTTTTAAGAAGCATGTGTTATAGATGTTTTAATCGTTTCATTATGTTGGCAACAAGGGAAAATGAAAACATACTTTTGAAAAGGAAAATATGTTTTTTTATTAGTTAACAGAAAGTTTCAAAATAAGAAATTTGGTCTTTTTGTCCATAACTGTAATTACAGAAACAAGAGCTATTGAAAAATTTAGAATTAGAAGCAGAAAAATATTGTGTTAAAAATGTATCACTTGAAATTTATTTAAACCTCCTGTATAAAAGGAGAATTTCTGAAAAGTTATGATGTAACAAATTTTTAAAAAAATTATCAGTAATATTTATTAGCATTTTATTAAGTTTAAAGATTTTTTTCAATAATAATAATTTCTTGTAGATTTTTTTTTCATATTTAAATTAATGAACAAATTTGGAAAAGGATTTATTTATTGAAAGGCAAGTACAGTATTTTTCTTGTTGTAGTTATGTTATCTTACTATTTTCTTTTATGCCTGTGCAATATTTGTTGGAAAAATGGATTAAAAACTTATAGTTTACATTATGTTTATTAATATTTTTATTTATTTTATTTGGCAATAAAACTGCCTTTTTTTTAGATTTTTATTACTTCTCAAAATTTAAATATATTATTTGATTAGCAAGTTGTATATTTTTAAAATTTAACAAACTAATTTGAATATCTTTAAATTTCTAAATTTACTTAACCCATTAACTCCCAAAACTCAGAAACTTCATTATAAATAGCTATATTATAAACGTTGAATAAAAATGGTATTAATTATTATTTTGATCTTATACCATAATAATATGTTATAAAAAGAATTAAAAAAATGTGTGGTGTTGTGTTTGAGCAACATCAGCAGAAAGGTGATACTGATAAACTTGATCCAAAGTTATGTTCTGGATTCTTTGATATTCAATTTCTTAAATAGCTTTTCAACTTTGCTCATGTTCAGAAAGGTGTATATTACTCTTCAAAAAATTAGAATTTGTCAGATTTAAACACATGAAACTATTTGAACATAAAATGAGTATCTGCATTGATGTTGTAAAGTAATAAAATCAAATACAATATATTGATAACTGTACCAGCTATCACAGTGATAATTGTAAAGTCTTCTATTGTTTTTAAAATTAATAATAAAATTTAGAAATTCTGAATTCTAATGACCTTTTGGAACTGAAGGCTAGTTTTATTTAGCCTTCCTATGGCTAGTTAATATCTCTCTGCTTTGTTACTCTCAAAATAGATTTGCAAAAGATGTACCAGAATTTCCCACTTAAAATTCTCCGGAGGATTTTTATGCCCAAAGTTTTATGATTCTTCAAGCATTTCAGAAATTGTTATAGTCATTACATTTTGGTTTATAATAGTTGCCATTACAACTTTTTCTGGAAAAATTAATTCTAGGAATTGCAACTTAATTGGCACTAAATTCTTCCCAACTCTATTCTGTCTTTTTTCGAGTTTATATCTCTCAAAATTGTGAGTTCATGTTCTGGAAAATCTTCTAGCCATTGAAATCTGATTTATATGCATTTTTATGTGTACAAAATAAGAAAAACCACCCCAATCAATAAGAAATGAAATTTGCACCTTATGCTGACAGTGCACAAACACAAAACCCGTTTTCTTTTCCTTTCCTTTTATTTTTTTTATAAGATATTTATCAGTTTTATGTTTTGATAAAAAAAAAATAGCCTTGGCTTAAAATAATACATTTGTAAACTTAAAATAAGAATTTTAATATTAAACTAGCATTGGCAAAAAACAGATATCGAATGCACATATTTTTTTATCTAAACATTTCTCATGATATTCATAGTTCGAAAACTGCAATCTCTTTAAAATTAGTTTCATAGTAAAGTTTTCAGAATCATATAGTATATTGATAGTGGTATAAACAGATCACCAATGGTTAATGGGTTAAAATATAAAAAATATTTTTTTCTTTACTATCTTATTATCTTAAACTTTAATTTTTTGTGTATCACTAATTTTGCTCACATTTTGTTTGAGGGATTAGTTTTCAATGGAAATAAAAACTGTTAGGTATAATTGCTTGATTTAAGATTCAAAATATTTCCACTCTTTTTGTATTTCTAAGTGGTTTTTTGCTATTTTATCATCATGCATAAAATTTGCATTTGGAGACAGGCTCAAAGTATCATCAAAGTTCTTCAATTCTAGTCAGATGAATTTAAAATCACTGAATGTGGAGTGACAGTTTTATTATAATTATGTATTAAACATTCTATATGATTTTAAACTTTTTTGTATAATTAATTTGAACTTTTCCTGATACTTACTGTTACAGACAATGCAATTAGGAATATTTTTTAATATTTTTCTGTTGAATTAAATAATTTTTATTAACATTTTAGGTACAGCATTTATGCTTTTTATCAAACTAATGTGTTAATGTGAATGCTTTATGAATAAATAATCTTAATTGTACTGCTTAATTCTCTCTGTTTTCACATTGTGATAAAACTGTAAATATAGGGTGCATAGTTCACAGCATATATTTCATCTAATTCCTAGTTTTAACTTATCTTTTAACATTTTTAAAGTAAATAAAGTTTTCCTGCACGCACATGAAGACATTATCTCATATATCTTGATGTTTTCTCATCTTTTGCATTTGCTGTGAAAATAAATATGTAATTGGACATGATTAATGAAATTTATTGCTTTTTAAATATGATCTGTCTTATTGTGTTTTGATACTTAATTGAATCATTCTTGAAATTCTAGTACTTTTTACTAATTTTTCTTATTTACTGAAATTACATTTTTTTTTGTGTGTTTTATTATTGTAATTATTGTTTTTTAAAACAAATTTATATTTTATGTTGTTGCTTATGTATTGTAATTTTTCTTTATTTGTATAGAGATGCTATAATTGTTCCCGTATGTTTAACACTGATAAAATACATGAATTTGAAGATTTACAGTTTTACTA